TAATGTGCAGCTGTAGGGGACTTTAGCTTATGGAATATTTAGTCACATCCATCATCGGTCCATTCATTCATTCATTCCACATCGCAGGCCTCTGTGCCCCAGATGCTCCCCTACAAACCAGAGCAATAGAGAAACAGGGTGCCCTCCTCCATGCCTCAGGGAAAGGGCTCTGTTTGGTAGGTAGCCAGGAGCTCTCCTAAGGACACCTCAGGGATGCCACTGGGATGCTCTAAGGTCGCTGCAACTGTGGCACACGCAGGAGTGGGGAAAACAGGGGAGGGTGGGTTCTGGGGGTGGCTGACACTTGAAGGCCCCACATTCCCAGGCCTCAAAGAGCCGCCTTGTTCTCAGGGCTTTCGTGATGATGCCCCTAGCCCAGCCACCCCCAGCAACCACAAGCCACTCCCCTCTCAAGGCCACTATTGACACGGACCCAACCCAACGCCAGCAGTGAGGCTGGCGGCTCCCCGCGAAGTGAGTTCCACACATTCTTCTAGGTTTCAGTCAGCCAGCTCTGGGCGCTGGGGCGGCCAGCAGGCCCCTGCTGGGCCCTGGGAGCAGGAGGGGGCAGCACGGCTAAAGAGGCCAAGGCTTGGGTTGGGGGAACATTCCAGAAGGGCTAGGATCTTCAGCCCAACCTCCCTCTTCCTGGAAGAAGGGAGTTGGGGGCAAGGCCAGGGTGGGCCCTGGGAGGAGAGGGCACTGTGCTCACCCTATCCTTGGGAAGCCACTGGGGGATGGAGTCAAGTTCGCCCATTCGTTCTCCAGCCTGACCTCTCCAGCTGGGATGGACTGGGAAGGGGGGCCAGGGGACAGAGCTGAGAGCCCTTCCCACACTCCCAAGTGGTGAAGGGTCCAGAACCTACATGTCTGGCCTCAGTGACCTCTGAATCATGGCTCTGTATCTCTCCACATCTTGCGCAGCCCTTCCCACTCCCCATCCTGAGAGTCTCCCCACAAGGCCAAGTAGCCTTGGAGCCTCTGCAGACTCACCCTAAACCTTGAGCCCCCAGGGAACAACCAGGGGAAACCAGTGAGGGCTCCATGCACCCCGGCTGAACTTTCTTCCCCCTCACACCCCACGCAGGGTGGGGTCCGGCCTGGCTCCCTTGGGCCTGAAAGTCCTAGGATTAATTCAACTGTCTATAGAACCTCGGGGAATATTCGATGAGGAAATTAACTAACAAAACTACAAATAAACAGGTGATCCCACAAATAGCCACCCTGGAGTTAGGTCTTTCTAGGCTCCCTCCAGGACAGGCATCCCTAGGAGGCTGGATGGACAAGGAGTACCCATCCGGAGCACCTTTGTCCCTGAAGCCAGGCCCAGATATTCCTTGTCTGAGAGCAGCTTCTGTACGATCTCAGACCTGAGTTCTTACTTTTATCAACATGAGTGACAACAGTTTTATCAACATCTAGTGCTAGCTATAAGCAAGTGGGATACGAGGCAGAGTGGCAAGGAGAGTTTTGTCTGCCTTCAAAGCCTGGCTCACGGTACCACCAAGGATGTATGTCTGTGAGCTACTGGGCAAGTTATGTAACCTCTCTGTGCCTCGATGTCCTCTGCTTAGAGAATGGGGACCATATCAGGAGCTACAGGTTAAAGCATTCAACAGATATATTAACCAAGCACTTACTACCTGCCAGATGCTAAAGGTACAGCAGCAGCGAACAAGAACACACAAGGTCCTGCTCTCGTGGAGCTTAAATTGGTGGGAGGGTGAGGGGGAGAGATAAATAAGTAAACAAATACTTTCAGATAGCAACAAGAAAAAAAAAATAAAGCAGTCTAAGGGGACGGAGAATGTGGGCAGAGTAGTCAGGGACTTAAGAGAAGGGAGGCAGAGGGTCATGTAGATATTTGAGGGACAAACGTTCTAGGTAGAAGGAACAGCATATGCAAAGGCCCTGGGGTGGGAGTGTGTTTGGCATATTCGAGAAACAAAGACCAGTGTAGCTAGAGTGAGTAAGCAAAGGGAAAGTTGGCAAGAGGAGAGATTTTGAGAGGGAGCGGGGGAGGCCGGATCCCAAAGGGCCTTGTGGGCTATATTAGGTCAGGGGCTTGAGTCTAATCATGAGCAGCAGGGGGAATGCAGGGAGGATCTGAGCAGGGGAATGGCATGTGAGAATTTGCTAAGAAACTTTGTGCCTACAAACAGTGGGCACTCAATAAATGTGAACTGTCCATATTATTTTATCATCATCTGGCCTGGCACCCCAAGACTTCCCTCCCTAGCACTCCAAGCTCAGAACCCAGTCATCTTCTGCCACCTTCCTTCTAACCCTCTTTCCCCAGCTGCACCTCAGATCCACAGATCCCAACATGCCTGCACTGAGCCTGAGAACAGGCCCGGGCCAAGCCAGGTGGGGGCCACTACTCCCCAGACATAGGGAGCTGGACCTAGTGTATGGGGGGGGGTCCATCTCTGCCCCTTCCAGCCTCCACCTTCCTCTATGGCCTAAGGCCCTCCCTCCAGAAGTCCCAAGGCACACTCACAAGCATACCCCACCCCAACCAGGTCTAGAGCAAGAGGAGCTGGGGGCTGGGGGCTGGGAGGCAGGGGGTTGGGCAAGGCAGCCAGTTATGTCCAGGGGAAGGCTGGGATAGTGCTGCCCCTGAGGGAAGGGGAGGCTCCTCCAGCTCCTCCATTACCCCCATCCGCCCACAGCCTCCCTAGTGCGGAAACCCTGCCGAGGCAGGAAACAGGTATCTCAGTGACTTCCCTCCTCAGCCCTGAAAACACCGTAATCATGGCAGCCCTCTCAGGATTCCTGTCTCCTGGCAGGGCTGGCCCCAACAAAGGAAGGGCTAAGGCCCCAGCAGGAAGAAAAGGGATCAGCAGGCCAAGGCAGGCACTTAGTCACCCAGGCCTGGCCCCCACCCCCAGCAAGCCTCTCCACCTCCTCTGAACTGAAATTACTCCCACACTTAATCACAGACCACTGCTTCCTCTGTCTCCTGCCCCCAGTGAAGTCTTGAGTTCCCTAAGGACCACCTTACCTTCCTCTTGTGTAGATGTGAACCAAAGGGCGGAAAAGATAAAGGACAGTGGGTGAGGAGGAGCCCAAGGCTTGCTAAGGCACTGGGCTAGAAATCTGATGTCATTGAAAATGTGTAATAAACTTCTTACCCCATTTTACAGATGTGGAAACTGAGGCCACAAAAAAGAAATGGCCTCAGATCACAGGCTAGAAAATTACAGAGCTGGGATCCAGACTTCTTGGGTCCAAGCTCTTTCCAGCTCTCCATCATTAGCCAGGGGTGGGACAGTGAAGACCTCGGTGTGGTTGCTGAGGAGATTATAATCCCACAGGATTGGAACTGCCTGTTTACCGATCTCAGTTCTGGGAAAGCAAAGACAGGGCCTGTTCTTGCTCACCCATAAGCCCCAGCCCCTAGTGCAGTCCCAGATGCATGGTACACAGTAGGTGCTTAGCACTGTCTGCTGAATGAATGAACCCCCAAACTCCCACTGACTGTCATGGAATGCAGCTCAATGAAGATATGTTGAATGAATGAGTGAGTGAGATGATTGGCTGCAATCTGGAATTTCTGTGGAAATTCCTCCTGCACACAGCAAATAACTCCGCCCACCTCCTCACTCTAGCTATGGTAGGACCCAGCATCCTGGAGCCCCTCAGCAGGGAAGCAAAGCTGGGGGAGTTCCAGAAAAGGAAGACATCCCATGTGCAACGTTGGTGCCTACTTTTTGGAAAAATAAAGATCAAGTTTGGATCAAGATGGGAAGCAACAGGATAACCGGGAGGTGCTGGGGTGAGAGGCTGAGAGAGGAGATTAAGGAACCAGTGCAGATGGGGATGGGGGAGGAGAGGTTCTAGGTGGGCGGGGCTAGAGAGCTGAGGGGTCAGGTCTGGGGTGGGGGTTCAGGAGTGACTCAGGAGGGCAGAGGTGAGACAGAACTAGCCAGGCGAGGACAGGGATTCAGTCACTGGGTAAACACTGGCTTAGAGAAAAGTCCCTTTCTTGGCTCTGAGAAGGGGTGGGGGGTAGGGGGCAGGGACAGGGACCGCCTAGGACCACCTCAAAGAGGGTGGGGGAGGCCCTGTGGTTCACCAGGGCAGGCCCAGCTCCTCAGATGTGCCCCCACCCACATCTGCCACCAGCTGCCTGCCCACGGACCCTGCCCCGCCCTTCTCGAGTTCACTCAGGTCCTCAGAGTCTCTCCTGGCCAAGCATTCCTTTTCTCTGCACGGGCCCATCCAAGCTCAGAGCAGGGAAGTGGGCTGTAGTGGCAGGCCCGCCCCTGCACCTGAGGACCCCAGAAGAGAAAAGCTAGGAAACAGACCTAGGTCCAGTACCAGGCACTTCCACCGCCTTCCATGCCGTCCTGCCAACCAGCTTCCAGCTGTATACACTTCGAGACCGTGCATTTTGAGTCCCCTTTGGGCTTGCCCGAGGTCACATAGCTACTCGGTGAGGAGAAGGGATGGATTCAAGTCCTGGGCTGTAGGGCTCCGGGGCCCGTGGGTGTTCCACACAAACCTCAGTTGTGTCCGGAATGGATTTTACTTGTGCCTGCCCGGTTACTAGCTCCCAAAGGGGCCAGACGGGCTGGTAAATTTCCCGTGAGGATTGATAGTCTCCCCATCACCACTGAGTGCCCCCTTTCCAAGCTGGCACAGAAAAGGGTGCCCTTGCCCCGCCAAGTTCCCGCCCTGCTCGAAGTTTCTCCGCTTGGTCCCCAGGAATGGCAGTCCGGGCCATGCCTAGCGCGACTGGAGACTCAGCAACGTGGCCGGGCGACCCACGGGCTCTCACGCGGCCCCGCCCCCAGTCCCACGCAGGTTTCCCCGGGCGCCTCTCGCGACAACCCCACGGCGGAGGGTGGCGCCGGCCTGTGCCCGCCCGGGGTCCCTGGCAGGCGCCCCCGTCCCGGGCCAGAGTCCCAACCAAGTTGGCTGGCGCAGCGAGCCGGGCCCGGGGCGCTCCCGCCCTCCACCACCCAGCCCTCGCCCCCGCCCCCGGCCCCGCACACTCACCGCGAGCAGCCGCCCGTGCAGCAGCAGCGCCAGCAGCAGCGCGCCCGCCGCCCGCTGTCCCATGGCCCGGCCGGCTCTGCTCCTTCTCACCCTCGGCGTCAGCCCGCAGCCGCCCGCTCGCCAGCCTGCGGAATCCTCGGGACAGCGCGGCCCTCTCCCGCCGCCCCGACCTCTCCCGCTGCCCGCCCCGCTCCGCCCTTGCGGCCGTCCGCCCCGCCCCCGGGAACCGGGGCCCGCCCCCGTACGCCCCGCCCCGCGGCGCCAGGCCCCACCCCCGGGCCGCCCCCGGACCGCGGGCGCCGCTAGCCCGAGCCCGAGCCGGCCGCGCAGCCTACTGGGCCTTTGTCTGGGCCCCCCAGCCCCCTCCGAGCGGGCCGCGGCCCAGCCCGGCTTCCCGCCAAACCCGGCCTGGAGTATGGGATGGGACGGGGCCGGGGCCCTGCGCGCGGGCCCCCACCGCCCCTCCCCAAGCTCGCGACCCCTGCACGGATCCCCAAACTCGCTCTCACTCCCTTTCACACCGCGCAACGTGACCCTTCACTCGGGCCGTGAGAGCTCCCCACGCTTTCACACACGCAGCCTGCACACTGCGCACCTGGGAACGCACACACACATACACACACGCATATGCCACACTGTTCCCCCTAAGACCCTTCACACTTGCGTCCTCACTCCCAACTGGCGCACAGCGACAGACCTCACCCACTCAGATGCACACTTGATCAATCTTAAAAAGTGTCACCCTGCAGGTGACACAGCTGGCACGACTTTCACACACGCTGCTGCTCACGTTCCAATTCGCATTTTTACACAGACTCACAAAAGTGAACCCTAGACTCAAAGCGTCAGGACATGTTTTCACACACAAATTCTGCACAGGCACTCCCGGTTCACACACAAGTGAACATCATTTGCTCACACACAGGTTGGCCTTTTTCACATTTTCTCCTGCACTAACCACAGAGCCTCACAGTGGGCACTCGAGAGTGAACTGAATTGCCGCTCACACACACCATTTTCCCCATAGACCAACTTGGATTGACATAAATCAGAGCCCGGGGAGAGGGGTGCAGAGACACACGGCTCGCACACACACAGGCCCAGACGCAGGTGCTTGGGTGGTAAATCCCACTCCTGTATGATCTGACACACACCCACAGACAGCACCCTTGGCCATGCCACTGGGCCTCTCCGCCTGCGCTCAGGTCTCCCTTCTGCCTGAAAATTTCCAGAGCAACCCAGGCTGATGGGTGGAGAGAAACCAGCGTGTGTGTGCGTGTGTGCATGTGGCTTAGAGGAAAACCTTTTGAGTAATGACAGAGGGAGAATAAAAACTGAAATTTCCATTGTTTCCTGTGAGAGTTGCTAGGTTCCAGAGACTCAGGGCTGGGTTTGAGGCCAGAAGTGAGGTGAGCTGTGGACAGAAGGAAATGCCCAGCTAACTGGGTGGCACCAGGCCGGGCTCCGGAAGGTGTGTTCCCTGTGATAGTGGCCTGCAAGCTCCCGGGCACTCTGTGGCCTCCCATTCAGGCACCGGGGGGCTGGAGAGAATGCTGGCATCCTGACCCCCACCCCAGATAGATGCTTTATCCCCAAAAGATTGGGTTCTTCACCCTGTGGGCCGTATTTCTGGGAGACCAGCTCAGAGCTGTAAGGGGCAATTCCCCAGCCCCAACCCAGATGCTAGGCACACCACTGAGTAAGGGCTGCTACCGCTGTTACAGCTCCCAACAGGGAGATACAGGTGGGACAGAAGAGAGAGGTCTGATCTTGGAAGGAAGAAGCGTTCCTTCTTTTCCTGAATGAACCCCTGATCTGGTGGAGGCAAGGGGCAGGATATAGTCCCTGTCCCCCTCTCCCCTCGTTGTTTTCAGTCTGATGGAGAATCCTGCCTCCACCGCCTCGCTGTGCAACCTTGAGCAAATTAGTCAACCTTCTGATGCCTCAGTCTCATCATCTAGAAAATAGGAAAAGAAGAATCATACTAAGACCTCTCTCACAGTGTTGCTGAGGGCTAAATTGAATTAATATGTTTATTTAAAACAAACAAACAAATAAACCAGTTTCAGGTACACAGGAAGCACACAATGAAAAGTACCATTTCTCCTACTGTTGTCTCTGGGTGAGTGCCTAAACTGAAGAGGGGGACACACTCTGCCTTCCGGGGGCTCTGGTCTGAGGGAGGAGCGACTCTTGCACGAATGTGTAGTTTCTAACCTGAGGGCTAGATGCGGCCTTCGCCCCACAGATCTCCAGTCTGACGGGTGAGTACAACCCGGAGCTGGGGGAACTCCCATTCTGGGGAAAAAGCCTGCAAAACTTCACTGACTTCAGTGCTGGCAGGTAGCCAGCCTCGGTGGCAGGGTTTTTCCGAGGCCTTGCCTGTCTGCGGAGGGTCAGCATCCGTGACAAATCACATTTTGTGAGCTGCCTTGGTGTCTTTTCCCCACCTCGGGCCCTTTAAGTCCCAGAGCTTTGGCTTCTTGGATGATTTGCTCATGAGCAAAGGGAAAAGGGGAACAAGCAGCCCTTTGTAGATGTCTGGTCAAGGCTAAACCCAAGCTATAAGTCTCACTTACTAAAAGAGGTCGGGGAAAGAGAGATGGTAAAGCTGAAGACTGGAGACTGGAAAGAGCTGGGCTGACACAGAGGGCAGGAAAATATGGCCTGTCTAGAAAGCCTTCCAGAGGAACCCCACCCACCCTGAGGACTGGTCACCGGCCTATTTATTCTGCATCCTTTCCTTCCCACTAAAGGATTTGGCCAGCTCTGTTTTCTTTTTCAGTCCTTGATATCTTTAGTAAATGTTCTCAAGTTGCTTTGTCTAGGGCCTGGCTATCTCCTCATATGGCTTCGAAGAGAAGCGGGGCAAGGAGGCTTTGCTTGAGTCTCAGAGGCGCCTGTAAATCGTGCTGCGCGTACTCATAGCTCAGGGTGCTCGTCATCCTCTTGGAGAGAAACAATTCAAGTCTTGCCCAAGGTGCCTTAGATAAGGAGAGACAACAAGAGTTTGGGTAGGTTAGAGCAGCCAAACAGTCTGTCTTCTATGAAACAGGAGTTGGGTGCCTTCTGGAACCGGTAGCCAGAGTTTGTGGGTCATCTTGTTTGCCACTCCAAAATTGCCAGGACTCAGCTTTTCCTGGCTTCCACGTCCACTCCAAATCTTCTCTCTGCTTTAGGGCTTCTCACTCCTTTCCTTCCTTCCTTCTTTCCTTCCTTCCTTCCTTCCTTCCTTCCTTCTTTTCCTTCCTTCATTCCTTCAGAGCTGCAGTGAATGGTTGGGCAGGTTGTTCACTGAACAAAGATATGCAGCCAAGTGGGCCTCAACTCTGGGACTCTATCTGCCCCGATGGGGGAACCTTTTGTTCATTTGAGTGAAGGTGGCACCGTATGGGCTCACTGCGGACTTACATTCATTCAATTGTGAAATAAACACCTATTTTGTACAAAGGTTCCAGTGCCTATGTGGGCAAACAGTTGCAGGCAGGGTCAAGATATATCCCTGGGTGAGAATGTGGAATGGGAAAATTGGTACTGAAAGGGGGTGGAGATGGAGGAGAGGAAACTTGGAGGTGATGTGAAGAAGAGGACACAGGTCTAAGCAGGCAGCAAAAGTTCTTGTGGAGACGGAGAAAACCTTCCAGGCCTGGCAAGATATAGTCCCACCCTTTTCTCCAGCCACATCTCTCCCCCAACCTGGTCTCTCTGCGTATTTTTCCTTCTCCTCGAGTGTTTTTCCCACCCAACATCCAACTACCTCCCTTCATCCTACTATCTTCTAGCATTTAGTTCCAAGATTATGCCACCACAGGAGACTTCCCTGCCCTCCCAGGCTAGGTCATGTCCCCTGTTGTACTTTCCCACAACCTACCTCCCCCAAGCTTCTCTTTCAACATTTTTACAATTGTAATAAATTGGAAGATTGTTTAATATTGTGAGGCCTGGGGTGCCCAGGTCACTCAGTCGGTGAAGTGTCTGCCTTCCCCTCAGGTCATGATCCCAGGGTCCTGGGATCGAGTCCTGCATCAGGCTTCATGCTCAGCTGGGAGTCTGTGCCTCCCTCTCCCTGAGCCCCTCCCCTCACTCTTGTGCACTCTCTCTCTCTCTCTCAAATAAATAAAGTCTTTAAAAAATATCTTATGAGGCCTAATAAAGGCAGGGAGTGTGATGGTCTGGCTTCCATCTTGTTCCCAGCTACATTCCCTGTGAAGGGCATAGTGCCTGGCAGAGAGCTGGCATTGGAATAATTTCACTTGAATGGAAGACCAAGTTGGTTCAAGCATGGCTTAAGATGTAAATGGGGCGCCTGGGTGGCTCGGTGGGTTAAGTCTCTGCCTTCGGCTCAGGTCATGATCTCAGGGTCCTAGGATGGAGCCCCACATGGGGATTTCTGCTCAGCAGGGAGCCTGCTTCCTCCCCTCTCTCTGCCTGCCTCTCTGCCTGCTTATGATCTCTCTCTGTGTCAAATAAACAAATAAAATCTTAAAAAAAAAAAAAGATGTAAATGTCCCCCTTTTGGTTTGTACTTGGGGCAGATAAATTCCCCTCGCTGTTGTATCAACACTGAATTTCCTTTGACGACCCCCGCATCCTTGTGGGGAGTTGGCAAGTGAGAGTATTTTGTTAGGGCCCTTTTCTAGACAAGGAAACTGGGGCCCCCAGAGCATGAAGTTGCTGGCCTAGATCACACACAGTCCGTCAGTAGGAGGTAGGGCCAGGATTCAGATCCACGTCTGTCTGACTCTAGAACCCACATTCTTTACCACATCCAATTCTGCTTCCCCCTAAGCAGAAGTGTGACTTTTTTGAAAATAGCCTTGGATTTGGTCCCTCTGGCCTCTCTAGATATCTCACCCCCAACCCATCATGGTTATCAATTATTTTCTTGCTGAGCTCCCACCCTGGGGCCAAGGCCCCGGGGCAGGATTCCCACCCTGTGCTCAGGGACAGCCTGCCCTCTGAGATGCTCCTTTAGATAAGCGTTTCCCTTGCTCAAGGAGTTTGGGAACTCTGTGCTCTTCCTTACACTTTGGCCATCTCAAGGGCCACCGACACAGGAAAGTTCTTGAGCAGGCCTCCAGTCAAGTCGCCTGGCCAACTCTATTTAATCCAGCATTCCTCAAGATACTTGAGAAAGGAGCCCATTTGTTTTTATG